AGCTGAAGATCACAAAAGCAAAGAAGCCAGCCACTAACTCTTACCTCTATCTCAGATTAGACCAAAAGGGTGATCGTCAGACTGCTCACAACTTCACTGCTCCTCAGATTCACTCAGACTGCTATGCTCTCATCAGTGTGGCTAGAGACTAATTCTTAGACTGAATACCTCTACCCTTTATACCTCTCAAATCCTAGGATTAAAGAGCTTTGATTTACTCTTTGATAACCCAGGGTGGTCTTGGACTTAGAGATCCTTCTACTTCTTAATCCTGAGTCTTGGTATTAAAGGTGTGTGCCACCACCTCCTAGCTCCTATAACTAACTAGTGTGGCTGCTTTGATATTTGATCTCTGAAAATCATAAACAATATATAATGACACTTAGTACTAAAAATGAACCTATGAAGTGTGCCTGAAGTAAATCATATCTATTTCTGTCTATTGCCACATATAGTTTTAAAGTTTAAGAGAATTACCCAAAAAGAGAAGTGAAGAGTGCTTTACACCTACCTTGCCTGTCCAGAAGACTTCCTGAATTCAGGAGGATGAGAAATGATCTCAGTGAGCCCCAGTGATTTTGTTGTTATTGTTTTAAATCTCTAGTCAATACCTTTTTTGATGTAGTTCCCTGTATAGACCTGATAAAGAGATTTTCACCCCTTCCAATTACATTCTCACTTGATTTTTGCTTTCTATATTGTTTAATGATACTGCTCAAAAGTTTAAATTGGACTCAGACAACTTATGTTGATCCACTGATGATGGATTTATTTGAGTGTGTTTATTATGTTGTTTTTTAAAATTTCATTTAATAATTGCACTCTTGTTTTTGTTTTGTTTTGGACTGATACTTTCTTATTATATAGCTCTGGTTGTCCTGGAACTCACTGTGTAAACCAGGATGGCCTTACCAAACTCAGAGTTCCCACCTGCCTCTGCCTCCTAAGTACTGGGATTGAAGGTGTATACCACAGTGCCCAGCTACATGCTGTATTTTGCTCAACTTAAAAATTTTTTTGAGGTGGCGTTTCATTATACTGCCCATGTTGGCCTCATTCATGGGTTTAAGCAGCCTTCCTGCCTCATTCTTCCAAGTAGTAGCACCCCCATACCCATCTTGCATCGCTTCTAAAATGATTTATCACTTTGTTCTTAAGTAAATCAGTTGTTCTCAGTGTTAGGTGTAGCCATTAGGCATTTTTTTTTTTTCCTTTCACCATAGATTGTAAGCCCCAGACTGAGCTACATGGTGGATAATACATGTAGATTACAGACTCAAGGCACTTGAAAATGTAGTTTAAGTCTTAGAATTTAACTGATATATTCATTAGATGGAATCAAAATTGAGATGTGATTGAGGGTTTCCTGGTTTGCCAAATTTTTTGATTTGGTCTCAGGACAGCCTTTGGAAATTAAATTTTTTTTTTTAATATTTTTTATTTTATTATTTTTTTACCTATTGATCCCACTTCCCTCCCTCCCATTCCCCCACCCCACCCCATCCCATTCCCTATCAACTCCCCAGGGACGGGGAGGGGAGGCCTTCCAGGAGGAATCATCAACATCTGTCAAGTCATTTGGCCCTCCCTCCTGTCTCTAGGCTAAGGGAGTGTCCCTCCATGGGGAATGTGCTCCCGAAGTCCTTTCCTGCACCAGGGATACATCCTGGGTTCACTGTTAGAGGTCCCATAGACTGCCCAAGCCTTCTAACTGAGACCCACATTCAGGGGGCCTGAGTTGGTCCTATGCTGGTTTCCCAGCTATCAGTCTGGGGTCCATGACTCCCCCTTGTTCAGGTCAGGTCAGCTGTCTCTGTGGGTTTCTGTAGCCTGGTCTTGACCCCCTTGTTCATCACTTTTCCCTCTTTGCAACTGGATTCCAGGTTTGGCTCAGTGCTTAGCTGCGGGTGTCTGCTTCTGTTTCCGTCAGCTACTAGATGAAAGCTCTAGGATGGCATGTAAGGTAATCATCAATCTCACTATCAGGGAAGGGCATTTAAGGTAGCTTCTCCTCTATTGCTCAGATTGTTATTTGGGGTCATCCTTGTAGATCTCTGGACATTTCCCTAGTGCCAGATTTCTCTTTAAACCTATAATGGCTCCCTCTATTGATGTGTCTCTTTTCTTGCTCTCATCTTGTTCCTTTATTGTACAAGGTTGTTTTGGCTATTCTGGTGGGTCTTTTGTTTTTCCATATAAAGTTTAGTATTGTCCTTTCAAAGTCTGTGAAGAATGTGTTGGGATTTTGATGGGGATTGCATTGAATTTGTAGATTGCTTTTGGCAAAATTGCCATTTTTACTATGTTGATCCTATCCAAGAGCATGGGAGATCTTTCCATTTTCTGATGTCTTCTTTAATTTCTTTCTTTAAAGACTCATAGTTCTTATTATATAGGTATTTCACTTGTTTGGTTACTGTTATCCCAAGATATTTTGTGCTGTTTGTGGCTATTATAAAGGGTGATCTTTCTCTGATTTCTTTCTCAGCCTCTTTTTTGTCTGTATATACTAGGGTTACTGATTTTCTTTTTAGTTAATTTTGTATTCTGCCACTTTGCTGAAGGTGTTTATTAGCTGTAGGAATTCCCTGGTAGAGTTTTTCCAGTCACTTATATAAACTATCATATCATCTGCAAATAGTGAGAGTTTGACTTCTTTCCAAATTGTATCCCCTTGATCTCCTTTTGTCTTCTTATTGCTCTAGCTAGAACTTCAAGTACAATATTGAAGAGATATGGAGAGAGTGGATAGCCTTGTCTTGTTCCTGATTTTAGAGGAATCGCCTTAAATTTTTCTCCATTTAGTTTGATGTTGGCTGTTGGTTTACTGTATATTGCTTTTATTATGTTTAGGTATATTCCTGTTATCCCTGATCTCTCTAAGACTTTATCATGAAGGGGTGTTGGATTTTGTCAAAGTCTTTTTCAGCATCTAGTGAGATAATAATATGGTTTTCTTTTTCAGCTTGTTTATATCATGGATTACATTGACAGATTTTCATATATTGAACCATCCCTGCATCCCTGGGATGAAGTCCACTTGGTCAAGATGGATGATTTCTATGATATGTCCTTGGATTCAATTTACCAGTATTTTATTGAATATTTTTGCATCAATGTTCATGACAGAAATTGGTCTGTAGTTCTCTTTTTTGTTGTGTCTTTGTGTGTTTTGGGTACTAAGGTAATTGTAATTTCATAGAAAGAGTTTGGCAATGACCCTTCTGCTTCTATTGTGTGGAACAATTTGAGGTGTATTGGTATTAGCTCTTCTTTGAATTACTGGTAGAATTCTGCATTGAAGCCATCTGACCCTGAGTGTTTTTTGGTTGATAGACTTTTGATGACTGCTTCTATTTCATTAGGGGTTATAGGTCTGTTTAAATTGCTCATCTGTTCTTGATTTAATTTTTGTAAGTAACATCTGTTCAGAAATTTGTCCATTTCCTTTAAATTTTCAAATTTTGTGAAATACAGGTTTTCAAAGTATGACCTGAAGATTCTCTGAATTTCCTCAGTGTCTGTTGTTATGCCCCCTTTTCATTTCTGATTTTGTTAATTTGCATGTTCTCTCTCTGCTTTTTGGTTAGTTTGGATAAAGGTTTGTCTATCTTGTTGATTTTTCTCGAAGTACCAACTCTTTGTTACATTGATTCTTTGCATTGTTTTTCCTAATTTCTACTTTATTGGTTTCAGCCCTCAATTTGATTATTTCCTGGTGACTTTTCCTTTGGGGTGAGTTTGCTGCTTTTTGTTTTAGAGCTTTCAGTTGTGTTGTTAATTCCCTAATTTGATTATCTTCCAGCTTCTTCATGTGGGCACTTAGTGCTATGAACTTTCCTCTTAGTACTGCTTTCAAAATGTCCCATAAGTTTGGGTATGTTGTGTCTTCATTCTCATTGATTTCTAGGAAGTCTTTAATTTCTTTCTTATTTCTTCCTTGACCCAGGAATGGTGCAGTTGTGCATTGTTTAGTTTCCATGAGTTTGTAGGGTTTCTGTAATTTGTGTTGTTGTTGTATTCTAACTTTAAAGCATGGTCTGATAAGATACAGGCTGTTATTCCATTTTTTTTTTTTTTAATATCTGTTGAGGTTTGCTATGTTAGTGAGTATGTGGTCAATTTTAGAGAAAGTTCCGTGTAGAGCTGAGAAGAAGGTATATTCTTTTGTGTTTGGATGGAATGTTCTATAGATGTCGGTTAAACCCAATTGGGTCATAATTTGGAAATTATTTTTTTAATAATTCATTTATTTATTGTATGTGTACATTTATGCCATGTCCCATGGCATACATGTGGAGGCTGGAGGACAACTTGTAGAAGTTGGTTCTCTCCTTCTGCCATAGGTCCTGGGCATTGAACTCAGGTTGTCATTCTTGGCAATAGGCACCTGTTCCCACTGAGCCATCTTGCTGGTCCTGGTAATTCCTTATTCATTGTGATTTCTCTTTTAGTTTGTATTATGTATACTTGTGGGTGTATGTGAATATTAGTACAAATGCCCTCAGAGGTGATAGGAACTTCTGGAGCCTAGAGTAACAGGGGGTTGGTTGTGAGCCACCAACACAAGGTGCTAGGAACTGAACTTGGGTCCCCTGCAAGAGCGATACATACTCTCAGCTGCTGAGCCGTCTCTCCAGTCTCAGACAGATTGATTTAGTGGTGTTCTAGAATAGTAGGCCTGTTGCATATTATAGAGAATCCTGTGTGCTCAACTGAAGGTCGTCATCAATTCTTGGCCTTATTGTCATACCCACTAGTTTCCCTCCTCTTCCCACGTATTTAAATTAGAGAAATTGAAGGTGCTGTTGTGTTCCTTGGGATGCAAAGGATGTTTGTGTGTGCACAATTTGCTGTGTGTGTGTGTGTGTGTGTGTGTGTGTGTGTATGTGTATGCACCTGATTGTAAATATATGTATGTGTGTGTGTGTGTGTGTGTGTGTGTGTGTGCATGCACCTGATTGCTAATGCTGCTATATGTTTTCTTTTAATATTTGCAGTGATTACAATCAAGCGGTATTTAAAATCTTTCTGGAACCGGAGACATGAGGCTGAAGATATCTCTCTTAAAAGAACCAAAGCATATCCTTTTAATATGGTAAACCTTACTACATTCAACTTGTTATGATACTATCATAGGTTTTCTTCTGCTTTTTTTTTTTAACGTCTACTTAATGGTTACTTTTCATTTTTTGAATGTTATTTTATAGACAAATTGTTCTCAAAACATTTAAGACCCAAGTTGTGGTAGTTCCCCAAAATATACTATGAGCCCAAAGTCTTACTTTCAAATATTTACTGACATTTTTATTACTCTACTTCCTAAAGATTTAAAAAGAATCCTTTGTTTAATCTACTAGAATCTTAAAAAGAGTCTTTAACAAAATCTGTATTAATTAGCCAGCCAGTAGTGTTGCATACCTTTAAGCCCAGCACTTTGGAAACAGAGGCAGGTGGATCTCTGAGTTGGAGGCCAGTCTGGTCTACAAAGTGAGTTCCAGGAGAGGCAGGGCTACATTGAGAAATTCTGTCTGGAAAAATAAAAGCAAACAACAAGAAGTCTGAATAATCTGCTAATGTGATCTCACACATATGTGCTCATTCAGTCTTGTTTTATTTATTTGTATTCCTGAGAAAGTAGAAGACAAATTAGGGAGATCTGAACAGTAAGTCCTTTATTACTTTACAAAGGAAGGTGGCAGTTATTAATCTTTTCTTAGATATATAATTCTTATATTTTGTCAGAGAGATCCTTCAGTGGGGTTTACAAAGGTACAATTGGCCCCTCTTCTCACTCTTTTCATTTCAATTAGTTCTCAAGGTGTTTCCTGTGGACTCTATTGCAGGTCTGTGAGGGAATAAGTAACTTAATTTGGGGTGAGCATACTGTTTAAATTTATTATCTGGGAGCATTCAGAGATCATGTTTAAGTGATTATTTGAGGTTTGTTTGTTTGCTTGCTTGCCTATTTTGTTGATGGGGATTGAACCCAAGCCTACCATGAGCATATTCAACTCATATTCTACCATGGAACTATATTCTAAGCCACCTCCCTCACTTTAAATTTTGGCTTTTCAAGACAGGGTTTCTCTGTGTAACAACTTAGCTGTCCTGGAACTTGCTCTGTAGTCCAGGCTGGCCTCAAACTCACAGAGATCCACCTGCCTTTGCTTCCTGAGTGCTGGGATTACAGGAGTGCACCTACCTCTCGGCCCAGCCCCCATTTTTAGTTTATATTACCAGATGTCAATATATCATAGATGTGAAACAAAGAAAATCTGGTCCTTCATCAGAAATAGGGAAATACTGATTGAAACATCTACTTCACTTGTTTTTGCTATTTATTTATTTAACTCTTAGTAAAGATATAGTTTTACTTCTTTTATATCAGTTTTCTATCTTTTCAAAGGGTTCTCTCAGGAATTCATACCACTATTAGTGTCTGGTGTTTACCTTTTTAAGCTGAGGAGTAACTCCCTATTTAGATTTTCCTCACCTAACAGTCCTTGCATTTCTACTCTTAGTTAACCCTATATATGCACATTATATAACCTTATATAAACTGCTGTTGTTTTGTTCTGAGTTGTAAGCTACCTGTCTCGGTTTTAGACATAGTGTCAGGGGCTAGAGAATTGTCTCAGTACTTAGGAACATATGCTATACTTCCAGAAGACCCAAGTTTGGTTTGCTTTGGTTGACTTACCTGTAACTCTAACTTCAGGGGATCTGGTGGCCTCTGGGTACACCTATAAACACTTGTGACACACATACTCATGCACAAATAAAAATCAGGTAAATCCTTAAAAAAAGAGAGAGAGAGAGGTGGCAGCAGTCGTACTGAGTGTTTTAGTAGTGGTTCTTTCCTTTGGTTCAGAATAGTACAGTACTGCTTTCCTATGATGTTGCTTAACATTTTATATTGTCTTTTTTCTTTTCTTTTTGCTTAATCCATCATATTTGAATTAATTAAAAAAATCTTGGACACATCATACTGATTATGATTCAGTCTCTTTCTGTTTCCTTGGAAAAAGTTTGTTCACATAAGGTAAAAAAAAAAAAAGTTGCTGAAAACAAAAAGGTGAGAAGATTGTATAAGAACTATAAGAGAACAGGCAGCCTAACCAGGATGCTGGTGATCTATAAATAAGAGAGATAAACAAGAGGAAGCATCTATATAAGTGACAAGTAGAGATACTTTATCCAGTTACACAATGTTGTGAGGATAACCAGGCTGTCCTGAAAGCAGATATGGGATTTTAACTTATTCTTTCACTCACTTGCACAAATCAGAGACTAAAAACTGAAGAATTTGGGGAATTGTATTTCATTTATTCCTATGCATCTTGTAGATTCAGTAAATTGTAACTGAATTATTTTTGACTTCAGTGTCAGAAAATTTGGATTGTTGGAGTGGTGAGATTTAATCCCAGGACTCAGGATTAAGAGGTAGATAGATCCCTGTGAGTTCAAGGCCACCCAGATCTACACAAGATTGATCCAGTCCTAAAGGGATATAGTTCACACAAAGATGACCTCAGCACCTGGGAATCTTTAATCCCAGCACTAGAGGGGTATAAAAGACAGGAGCAGGGTCTTCAGTAGTCAGTATCAGCGACTTATTCTCCAGCCACATTGAGGAGAGGTTACAGTCTGAAATTTGGAGGAGCCAGGATCACCTTTTATTCCAATTTAGAGTGAGAGCTAGTGGTCAGCTGCTTTGCTTTTCTGACCTTCAGCTTGAAGTTTGAACCCTAATATCAGTCTCTGGGTTATTTGTTGTGTGTGTGTGTGTGTGTGTGTGTGTGTGTGTGTACTGCCACTGTGCTTATATAAAGGCAAGAGTTCCCAGGAGTTTTGTGTGTGTGTGTGTGTGTGTGTGTGTGTGTGTACAGCCACGGTGCTTATATAAAGGCAAGAGTTCCCAGGAGTCATTTTTCTCCTTCCACTATGTTGGCCCCAAGAATCAAACTCAGGGTCTGGAGAGATGGCTCAGAGGTTAAAAGCACTGGCTGCTCTTCCAGAGGTCCTGAGTTCAATTCCCAGCAACCATATGATGGCTCATAACTATCTGTAATGAGATCTGGTGCCCTCTTCTGGCCTGCAGGGATACATGCAGACAGAACACTGTATACATAATAAATAAATAAATCTAAAAAAAAGAATTGAACTCAGAATTACCCAGGGAACGATCTCACCACTCCAATAATCCAAATTTTCTGACACCTCCTAGCTTCTGGGATTAAAGGTGAGTATCACTACTGCCTGATTTCTATAGCTTGAGACTGACATTGCTTTCTGAATCCTCAGGCAAGCTTAATAAATCATAAATAATATATCACACACACACATGCACACAATCACACATTAATAAATATTATTTTAAAACGTAAAACATTGTATTGTCCATTAAACATAAATAACTTAGCTATCATACACAGTGCCCTAGGTTTGTTCTTGGGACAATAAGTGAAAAAATAAGAATAGGTAACTAAAATGAAAGCAGGAGCAATGGTAAGATGGTTCCAGCTGTTAGGCCCTAGCATCCCTAGAAGCTATCATAATGTGTAACTGAAAGAGACAATTCACTGATAAAGTTCTGTCTTCCTAAAAATCAATGTTAACTTATAAAATAGTATGTGTTACCAGCATTGTGGTTCATGGCTTTAATCTCAGCACTTGGGAGGCAAAGGCAAATGGATTCCTGTGATTTTGAGGCCAGCTTGCTCTAGATAGTACGTTTTAGGCCAGCCATGGTTACACAGGGAGACCCTGTCTCAAAAAGAGGGAGAGGGATGGAGAGATGGCTCAGAGGTTAAGAGTACTTACTATTCTTGCAGAGCACACAGTTCAGTTCCCAGCACTCACATGGCTCACATTCTTCCATTACTCCTTATCTTAGTTAGTTAGGTTTTTATTGCTGTGTGTGATAAAACACATGACCAAAAACAACCTGGGGAAGAAAGGGTTTATTTTACCTTACAGTTTCACATCCCAGTCCATCACTACAGAAAGACAGGGCAGGAACTCAAACTGGTGGAACCTGGAGGCAGGAGCTGATGCTAGTTGCTGATTTGTCTCTCATGGTTTCCTCAGCCTGGCTTCCTATGGCACCCAGGACCACCAGCCCAGAGGTAGCAATGCCCACAGTAAGCAGGGCCCGTCTACATCTATCATTAATCAAGATCTGATGATCTGGTGGGTTATTTCCTCAAAATTTTGAGGTTCCTTCCTTCCAGATGACTCTAGCTGTGTACATAGATCTCTGAATTAGCTTTTTCTAACTTCCACAGGTACTAATCATGTATATGGGGTACAGGCATACATGCAAGCAAAACACTCATACACAGTAAATAAATCATACATGTTAGATAAATCTAAAACAATTTTAAAATTATAACAATGCAAATGCATCCTAATAACTTAATTAATACATATATAACTATGTATCTTTTGTCCCCCTTTCTTCCTGTCTATCTCCCAACATCATTTCCTACCTTTTGATTTTTACTGACTGATTTTGAGTGTATGTATGTATCTTTTGACCATGCTTTCTTTAATTTCCATCCTTACAACTTGTTTGGAAGACATTTTCCTTTAAATGGAAAAAATATTAAAAATCACACAATGAGCCAGGTGGTGGTGGTGCAAGCCTTTAATCTTAGCACTTGGGAAGCTGAGGTAGGCAGATCTCTTGAGTTTGAGGCCAGCCTGGTCTCCAGAGTAAGTTCCAGAACAGCCAAGGCTACACAGAGAGACCCTGTCTTGGAAGAAAAAGAGAAAAGAAAAAGTCATACAAAGAAAAATACATGGTGAAACTTGGAGACATTTGGCTATGACACTTTTCATGATCTACATCTTGAATGCCTTTAAAGACAGAAGCCTTTTTTGCTGGGTCTCCTTAACACAACACCACATCAGGAATTAGTGAGCTGTGTAGGTTGGACAACGGCTGAGGAGCTATACTCTTGCAGCGATGATCACCAGATAGTGAAGTGGAACTTGCTAACCAGTGAAACCAGTCTCATAGTAAAGCTGCCTGATGACATCTACCCGATCGATCTTCACTGGTTTCCCAAAAGTTTAGGCATGAAGAAGCAGACGCAGGCAGAAAGTTTCGTCCTCACAAGTTCTGATGGTAAGTTGTTTGTTTTATTAGTATTTTGCCTGTGTGCATGTCTATGTGAGGGGGTTGGATCCTGGAATTACAGACAGTTGCAAGTTACCATGTAGGTGCTGGGAATTGAACCCAGGTCCCCTGGTAGAGCACTTAGTGCTCTTAACTGCTGAGTCATCTCTCCAGCCCTCTAATAATAAGTTTTCAAATAATGTCCTATGCACATCTGTATACTGAAAATATAGTATAGACTCATGAAATGTGCCTAGAGTTGTTTTACAAAACTGCTATTTGAAGTGAATATACTGTCATCGGCACATTTTATTTTCTTGTATGACCTTGGTGATTTTGAAGGATTCAGGCCTGGGTTTTTTCTTTCCTTTTGTTTTTTTTTTTTTTTTTTTTTGAAACAGGGTTTTTCCGTGTAACAGCCCTGGCTGTCCTGGAACTCACTCTGTAGACCAGACTGGCCTGGAACTCACAGATATATGCCTGCTTCTGCCTCTCTCCAAGTGCTGGGACTAAAGGCATGCACCACCATCACCTGGCCAGGCCTGTTTTTTTTTTTTTTTTTTTCACTGTTTCTTTATGATTTGATTCAGCTTACAAGTTTTTAGTGGGAATATCAGGAGATTTATGGTGCTGATTTGAAACACTATTGTGATGTTAATGCCTTACCTGACAGTAAGTGCTTTCTAAGTTAATCTACTATGGTGTTACTATTTTCTCCCTCACTTTTTGATTTGTTTTACTTTATGGTTACAAGTGTTTTTCCTACATGTATGTATGTACACCGCATGTATGCCTGAATCTTGCAGATGTTAGATGAGGGTGTGCAATGCCCTAGAGCCACCATGTGGGTATTGAGAAGTGACGCTGGTCTTCTGCAAGAGCAACAAGTGCTCTTAACCATTGAGCTATCTCTCCTGCCTCTATTTTCTCCCTTTTAATAATTTGTATGAAAATACATTTGAGACTACATAAAAGTATTCCATTCCTTCTTAGACTTCCTTCCATTTTAAAAATCTACTGATGGTTCTTGGCTAGATCATTTATTCCCAGAGAAGCTGCCAACTGATAGTTTTCTCTATAATCTATCTCTATAATCCTATCCCGTGTTAAATAGTTGGTATCCTGCTTCAGGGAAAAACTTTCTGTCCCATGGTCATCTGTCTTACTTAGTTTAATGTTAGCCTCATAGAATTTTTTTATTTGTGTTACTATAATTTCTTAATCTTGATTTTGAAATTGTTCCGTATTTGGCCACTGAGAGCCCCATTGGTGGAGCCAGCTGCATTGATTTTGTTTTTGTTGTGTACATGTAGTTATCATTTCTCGAGTACTTCCTTACTGGCACAAAATGTCCCAAACTAATCTTGTAGTTCTTAGTCCCATTTTCTAAATCAGCCATTTTCCAAACAGGCTTGTTTTTAGATGGTTAATGATATGTAAAGCCAAGATAGGGACACTGCTTGTAGTATTCCTTCTAATGGGGTGTGTCTACTCTTCAGACTCTTCATCAAACAGAAGTAAGACATGGGATGACAAAGACTCCAGAAATTAGGGCTATTCAGATGGCTCAGTGGATAAAGGCACTTGCTGCCAAGCCTGATGGCTTGAATTCAGTCCCTGGAACCCACATTGTGGGAAGGAGAAACTGACTTCTGCAACTTGTCCTCTGACGGCCATATGCATTCTAAATTATTTTTAGATGTATGTCAGTAGTCAGTTTTCTATCACTTTCTATCTAAACCTTGAATATATTTTACTAACACCAGTTCTAATTTAATACCACAGAATTTTAGTTTTTCTTTTTCTGATTCTTGGAAACATTGAGGAAGTGCAGTTATCATTATCAGTATATACACTCATTTGTTTAATTCTGTGGTATATAATTTTCAAAATTAACAATCCAGACTAGACTACTATAAAAATTAACCTAAGTTTAGTATTTGTTTGATATTATTTTTCCCTTTAACACTGTTTTCCCCCCTCCTTCCCTCCCCTCGCCTCTCCTTTTCTCTTTCTTCTCCTCCCTTCCTCCCTGTCTCCCCTGCCCTCCCCCTTCCCCCCCCCCCCCGAGCCTCACTATGTATTCCAGGCTACTCTTGAACTCACTGTGTAACCCAGGTTGTTCTGGAATTCACTGTCCTTCTACCTCTTATGTGCTGATGTTACAGATGTGCCCTAGTCTGTGGACATTTGTAGGGCATTTGTGATCTTCAAAAATGTGTTTCATATCTTTCAAATGTATATAACTATTTTCCCCTTTGTAATTAATTTGTATTACTCCAAAAAGTTAGGATTAATTCATCCTTTTTAAAATAAGCGATTGCTTTTATTATTCAGGACTTAAGTGTATTTTAAATCCAAATCACCCCCCCCTTTTTTTTTGCTTACTAAATGAAATATACTATATGTGAGTGTCTATCATGTGAGACTTTTTTGCATCTTTTTATTAGACTTGTGTTCCTTGAGATGGAGAATTATGACATTATTTGCTCTTATGCCTCTAGTGCCTAATAACTATTAGTTAATTAATGCTAATTAGCCTAGTAGTAGGAACTCAACAAATGTTTTAGCATAAGTTAATTTAATAAAGTAGGTTCTCACAGATAATTTCTTTTAGGTAAATTTCATCTCATTTCCAAGTTAGGAAGAGTGGAAAAAAGTGTAGAGGCTCACTGTGGAGCTGTGCTTGCAGGAAGATGGAATTACGAGGGGACCGCATTAGTTACAGGTAAGTTCTCTGCAAATTTGCATCACTTTGCTGTGCTGGCATCAAAACCTGGCCCTTCATATACTAGGCAAGTGATCTACCACTGAGCAATATCCTCCACATCCAAAGTAGCATTTCAAATGAATGTTTCATAGAAAATATTTTCATTGTTCTGGTTTCATTTCTATGCTATGATAAAATATTGTGATCAGAGACCAGAGACAACATCTGGGATGAGAGGGTTTGATTGTGCTTACGAGTCCAGGTTTATAGTCTATTTTTGTGGGAAAGTCAATTCATAGGATAAAAATAACTAAATTTAAAAAAAATAAAGGAACTCAGTAAATTGAATCAAGAGCAGAAAGAGGGCAAATACTTCACTAGCTCTTTTTTGCTGTTCATAGTTCTGGGCCCAGCCATGAAGTGGTGCTGCCCACATTGGGCTGGGTTTCCCCACATCATTTAAAAATCAGTGTAATTCCCCATAGGCATGCCCCTTGGCCCACCTGACCTAGATATTTCTCAACGGATTCTCTTCCCAGGTGGCTTTAGATGGGGCAAGTTGACATTTAAAACTAGCCATCACACCAGAGCTGTTACACAGAGGAACACTGTCTCAGAAACACCAAACCAACCAAACCAACAAAAAATCAAAACAAAGCCAAACAATTAACCATCATGAATTCATTTAGCAGTGGCATATTTCACTATCTAGTAGCAAATAATTGTCATAACACCAATCTAGACTGCTGTGTAAATGGTATCATTCAGAATATTTTATTTTTCTTCATTTTCTGTCTAGAGACAGAGTCTTGATATGTAGTACAGGTTGGCCTGGTATTAATTTTTGTAGGTCATTCTGGTCACATATTTAGCAATCTTCCTGTTTCAGCCTTGAATGCTGGAGCTAGAGGAGAATACCACTATGTCCTTTTCTTGAGTATCATATTGTTACTCTTATTTATGACTTTTTGGAGAATATTCTATCAAAGAAAGCTTTTAGAATGATCAACTCTATCAGGTATGATCGTGCATGCCTTTAATCCCAGGCAGCTGGATCTCTGAATTTGAGGCCACCCTGGTCTACAGAGTGAGTTCCAAGATAGCAGCCAGTGCTACATAAGAAAACCTGTCTCACAAAACTAACAACAAAACAAAAGATCAAGTCCCTAGAATAGATAAAAGTTACAACTTTTTTAAAAGTTCCAAAATTGAAAATCTTCTCATGTAATTTAGCTTTATATCTCTTCTCTCTTCCATCCCAGACCTACTCCAGGTAGGACTTACTGTATTTACTGTATTAGTCACCAATTGCTGCATAATGAGTTATCTCAACACTTAAACAACAAGCATTGGCTGTGTGGCTATTTCTATGGCCTGGGAGCAGCTTTAGTGGGTGGGTATTTCTGGCTTAGAGTGTCATGAGGTTTTTTCAAGTGGTACCATGTGGCTGCAGTCATAGGAAGGCTTGACTGTGCTGGAAGGTCCACTTCTAGCTTGGTTTACACACTTGGATGCAGGCAGAAGACCTTAGTAAGATCTTTGGCTTTGGCAGGAGACTTTAATTCCTTGCCACATAGGCAATTCTATAGGGCTGATGAAGTATTTTTATAAAATGGCATCTGGCTTCCCAGGGATCCAAAAAAATAGCAGGTTAGAAGCCACAGTATCTTTTCTGACTCACTCTCAGAAATTATACTCTGCCATTTCCATCCCACTCTGTTCTTTAAAAGCAGGTCACTAAGTACAGACCACACTGAGGCAGAGTGAGGATAAAAGCTGCACCCTGAGAAAAGGAATAGTGAAGACTCTGTGCAGATGTTTTTAATCTATCCCTAAGGTCTCTTTAGGTGGATTTAAATTTTTTTTTTCTTTAGTGACATGTCCTCTGTCTCACCTGCAACTTCTTTTCCTATGGCTTCTTTTTCAGCATATAAATGGATTTAGATGTGAATTATTTGAAAAATTAGGCAGGAAATATAAATTCCAGGCTGGAATGGAGCTTAGTAGTAGAGTATTCATCTACTGTGTGCAAGGATCTAGCTTTGATCACCAACACCACAAAAATAAAATATAATAAATAAATAAAACCAAAAATCCCACTGGATGTAGTGGTGCACACCTTTAATTCCAGTACTTGGGAGGAAGTGGCAGGTGGGTCTCTGTGAGTTTGAGGCCTGGTCTACATAGTGAGTTTCAGGACAACCAGAGCTACATAGTGAGACCCTGCCTTGAAAAAACTCAAAAACCAAACAAACCAAAGCCAAAACCAACCAACCAAACAGCAAGGCTTTTCTTAAACAGTTCTCTGTAGCACCAGGCCTTTTCTTCTCTTTTCAGCTAAGATGTTCTCCAGTGGGTCCCATTATTTCACCCATTTCTTCTCCTGATCCCTGGTGTTCAGCTGCAGCAGATCATACACCAAGAGTACTTTCCTTGAAGTTCTAAGTGGAGATCAGAGTGACAATGGAAGTAGTATATGAGTAATATATTCCTAAGTTTTAACGAAAAATAAAATTTTTGATATGGAAGTTAGGTTCTGTTGATGAAGGGTTTTTTTTCATGCAATTTCTTCTTAAATCTACTGTTACAACTTACCCTATTAGGATTGGAATGAATTGTGTCTGAATTTTAAACATTTAGATGTTTATTTATATGTACAAGTATAAACTTGAGATTATTTTCTACATATAATTTTTTTTTTTCCTTCATAGTTGGAGAAGATGGACAAGTGAAAATCTGGTCAAAGACGGGGATGCTTAGGTCAACATTAGCTCAGCAAGGTATGCTTACAACTGGTCATTTAATTTCCAAGACTGTACAACACATGTGTCCCAACATTAGCTCAGCAATTTTGCTTTATAATTGGTCGTTATTTTCCTAGACTGTACAACACATGTGTCTCAACATTTTTTTTTTAAATAAATAATCTGTTATTGGGCTAGAGAGGTGGCTCAGAATTTAAGTGCACTTACTGTTCTTGCAAAAGATCTGGGTTCAATTCCTAGCACCCACATGGCAGCTCACAACAGTGTAAGTTCGGTTTCAGGGAACCTGATACCCTCTTGTGACTTTCCAAGTGCACCAGACATGTACATGGTACACATATATACATGTAGGCAAATATTCAGACACATAAAAATGACAAAATAAATAAATAAATATAAGAAAATACTTCTTTTTTTCTTAAAAAAAGGAATCTTTGATAGTGGTTGAAATTGACTTTGGTCACACTCAAGATCTGAATTCTCTTACTTTTCTTTGGATTTAGGGACATTTTTAAAAAGACTTATTTATTTTGTGTATGTGAATGTTTTGCTTGCATGCTTGTCTGCGAACCATGTGCATGCCTGGTACCTGTGGAGGTCAGAAGAGGGCAAGGGTGTCAGATACCCTGAAGCCACAGTTCAAGTGGTTGTGAGCTACTTTGTGGGAGCTGGGCCTTGAATCTGGGTCCTCTGCAAGAGCAATAAATAAATGCTCATTAATTGTTGAGCCATCTCTCTAGCCCCTATACTTTTTAAAATTCCATTTATGTATTCATTTATTTGTAGGTTTACATGTCTTCACCCATGAAGCGCACATGTGAGGGTAACAGATCAATTTGTGCTAGTTAGTTTTCTCATCTCTACCATGTGGATTCTAGGGATGGGACTCAGGTCACAGGTGTGGTGGTATCTTTTTCTGCTGAGTCATCTCATTGGCCCCGTACTTTTTCTTACTTTCTGTGATCCATACTTACCTGATGGACCATGGTAATATTATTTAAATTAAAATATATTTAAAAAGCCAGGCATGGTGTGATGGCACCTTTAATCCCAGCACCCTGGAGGTAGAAGGAGGTGGATCTCTGTGAGTTCAAAGGCAGTCTGGTCTACATAGTGAGTTCCTGAATATTCAGTAGTGAGTTCCTGAGTATGCAGAGCTATATTATTGACAAACAGGCTTTTTCTTTATGTTAATGAACCTATATAAATGCAGCTGTAGGCTAAATATTCTTTTTAAATGATTCTGAAATATTTAGAGTGTCTTGCACATAAAATTGGTCTGGGTGTTTAGTTAAGACAATCTAGCTGGACATGGTACTGCATGCATGCAATCCCAACACTTATGAGACAAAGGCAGACGGATTGTGAATTTGAGACCATCTTGGAATATATAGCAAGACTTTGTCTCAAAAATAACTCATTGGTAGAACACTTGTATAGTATGCAGGTCTTGGGTTCAGTCCATGGTACTGAAAAGAAAGATTGAAAACTATGTAAGAAAAGATATTAAACACATCCTCTTCATTTAAAAGTCCCAGTAACCAGGCAGAGTGGACCATGCTTGTAATCCTAGTACTTGGAGCCTAAGGCATGAGGATGCCCACCAGTTTGAGGCTTGTTCTACATAGTCATTTTCTGTCTAGCCTGGCTATACTGTCTCAAAAACTTGATATTAGCATTCCTTGATTTCTGTCCTAATAAAGGGGAATAAACACAGAGATGAGTGTAACTTGGTGACTGACAGTGTTTAAAGGAGCACCTCAGTGTTTGGAGTACAGAAAGGAGAGGCAGTAAGTCATTATGGTGGTCATTCCTGTTGGGGCTTAGATTACACGTAAATTCTTAGAGTATAGCGGAATAATGATCTAGAACATAAAGCAATCTTATGTTTACCTATGCATGTATGAGCTGATCTTTCAGATGACTGTTCAGAATTATATTAAAAAGTTATAGTGTAAAGCATCTATAATTAATGCCACTTTAAAAGTGATGTTTACTCTTAGACTAATGTTAAGGTTACATTTTTTTGCTTATATTAAGCAAATGTTATCATAAGTGACCAGAAATACTAAGTAGTCTTTTTCTTTTGAGATAAAATATTTTTACTCATAATCTCTAAATAGAAATAGAAACTTAATTCTTAGGAATAGTTTTAGGTATGTTTCATGTTTTAAAGTTGATTAATTATTAACTTAGTAGTAAAATTATGAAATGTATCTTTAGAAAGTAAGTCTTTCTTTTGTGGGCACAGTGATTTTCTTTTGGCTTTATAGATTTTCTTTTCTTCTTCTTCTTTCTTTTAATGCTGAAGCTGGAGCTCCAATCAAAGGCCCTGTAACTTCTAGGCAAGTGCTACTCTCATGCTAGCTATAGCTCTAGGCCCCATAGTTTTTCTTATACCATGTCATCAACAGTCAGAAGAGCGTATCAAATCTCTTGGAATAGGAGTTACAAATGGTTGTGAGCCAGCATGTCAGTGCTGGGAGCCAAACCCAGGTCCTCTGCAAGAGCAGCAACTGCTCGTAGCCACCAAGCATCTCCCCAGCCCCTTCTCGGTTGTCTTCTTTCCCACATACTATCCTTGTGTCCGTTATTTCGGACTTTCCAAGTCTAAAGTAGAAACTTGGAATAAGTTGCTCAATATTGATATTATTCATTGATACAGTTCTACATATTAGTTATGTAGTTATAGTTATATAGTGATATAGTTCTGTGTATTGGTTGTGTGCTGTATTTTATATGTTAGCAAACTAGAAACTGAACTGCTGCTTAGTTTACAAACAAGGAAATGTTTTAAAATTGTAATGATACTATGCATCAGCATTCTAAATAGCACGAATTTCCTTGGTATAAAAATGACTTTGAGAGCCAGGCCATGGCAGAGGCAGAGGCAGAGGTAGAGAGGCAGAGAGGCAGAGGCAGAGAGGCAGAAGCAGAGAGGCAGAGAGGCAGAGAGGCAGAGGCAGAGAGGCAGAGGCAGGTGGGTCTCTGAGGCTAGCCTGGTATATGGAGCAAGTTCCAGGACAGCTAGGGCTTCAGAGAAACCTTGTTGAGGGTGGGGGGTGATGAGGACTTTAAAACTATTAATCATTTTTGCCCTGTTTAAAATCTTATTCTTATTCAAGGTTTATGTTAATTATGAAATTGATAAATAATATTGTTAAATTTTCTTATTTCAGTTATCCTGTCAATATTTCAATTGAATAAACTGCTGTTTAAAAAAGTTAATACTACAGAACTGTACATTTAATTCTTAAGTTTTTAATTATTGGTCTACTTTTCTAGCAAGGCATACTTTTCCTATTTCATCTCTGGAAAAATCATTAGAGAAGTTAACTTGTCATAATGACATATTCTAGAAGGAACAGATCCTGATGACTTATAATGTAAGTTAGAGACCAGATTTTCAGAACATTTGTAAATCTAGACTACTTGAAGACTAGGTGCTAATGTCTCAAATCAGAAAGCCAGGCAAGTCAGCTTCCTTTACAGGCTCTGGAAATTTGATATAAAAATATATTAAATCCAAATTACTCTAAAGCTCAGAATTGTATGAACAGTGTTGATTTTTATTGTTATTTTTTCTACATGTTTATGTTAGTTACACTGCTTTTTTGAAAAGTTTATTCTCTGGCATATATACATATATATACACATATATATTACATTTATTTAGTGTACATATGTGTGTGTGTGGGTGAATGGGTGCCATGGTATAAAAGTGATGGTCAGAGTGTAACAGGCCCAGACCTTAGTAGACCAGTCCCCCATTTTAGCGCAACCGACGCCATATTAGAAACATCATCAGGCCTTGAAACCAACCCTGCATGTAGGCTGCAACACCTGCCAACACAGGAACAAAGGCTAAGTCAATGATTACAGAAAAGTCTACAAAGTCTACAGAATGTACTAACCCTGCTTTTTTTTTTTTGTCTTCTGTAGTTCCACTTCTTACTAACTGAAATTTAGCAATCAGGATTTTGTGGTTTTTGTGCATGAAAGACAGAATTGGGGGGTTCGGGCTGCATGATTTGGCAAGCTTCCCTTTGCAATTGTCAACCGGCAATAAAGACTTTCTCATTGGCTGTAAGAGTGTCTCAGTGGTGGTCTCTGGTGTGCTAACCTCACTACAAGAGGACAGTTTACAGAAGTTGATTCTTCCCTTCCAGCATGTGGGTCCTGGGGTTCAAACTCAGGTTATCAGGCTGGGCAGTGTGTGCATTTCCCTGCTGAGCCATTTTATTGGCCTATGTATTTATTTGTTGATGAAGGGAAATTAGTTCTTCAATTCGTTTCTTTCTTTATTTTATTTTATTTTATTTTTTTGAGACAGGGTCTCTTTAGTCCTGGCTGTCCTTGAACTCCCAGAGATCCTTTTGACTCTGACTCTGGAATACAGGGATTAAAAGTGCATGCCACCATAGCAGGTCTTGTTTTCATTTGTTGACTATTAAAGATTTTCATATAGAAAGTTTATGACTACTAAGTTTTTACATATAAAACAATAATCATAACTGTCTTTGAATATTAAAGATGAATCCCAGCTTGGGTGGGATGCAGTTTTACTTGGCTTAGAAATGATTCTTACTGGTGCATGAAGAATTATCATCCTTAAGAAAAATATGTAAGTTGTGAATAATTATAATTAAGTCCTATCTGTGTTATTGTGTATTTTTGATTATGGATTGTGATATTCAATTAAATGTGTAAGGACATTTCTTCCTATTTGCAAACAGAAGTGGAATGATAAAGGTGGTACAGTATGTATACAATGAAATTAGTGAAGATGTCTTAGGAGCAAATGGAAATGTGTTGAAGGTCAGAAATAAGGGTAAAATTAATTTTAAGGTAAAAGTTGAAAGAAAAGTGAAGTTATAGGGAAATAGGGAGCTAGCTGAGGATAGAAACTGAAGAAACAAATGCTTTTATTTAGGCTTTTTTTCTGACCCAGTGACATACATAAACAAGAAGTCATGTTTTTGGAATGAGTCCCACTTGATAATCTATAGTTAGTT